GAAGATATGCAATATGAGAAGATGCTTAACATCAATGATCACCAGGGATATGCAAATCAAAACCACAAGACATCACATACCCATTAGGAGGGTCAATACAACAAAAACCAGCAAATAACAAGTGTTGACAAGGGTGTGGAAAAACTGAAACCCTTGTGTACTGCTGGTAGAAATGTAAACTGATGCAGCCATTATGAAAAATATGGTGGTTCCTCAAAAATTAGAATTACTATATGATGCGTATATGCATATATACCACTTCTTGGTACCTATCCAAAAGGACTAAAAGAATTATTTCAAAGATATCTTTGCACACCCATGTTCACTGTAGTATTAGTCACAATAGACAAGAAGTGTAAGTAACCCAAAAGTCCACTGACAGAAAAAAAAAATGTGGTATATACATACAATAGAGAATTATTCAGCCTTAAAATAAAAGGAAATTTTGTCACATGCTTCAATGTGGCTGAACATTGAGAACATTTTGCTTAGTGAAATATGCCAGCCACAAAAAGAAAAATACTGTATAATTCCAATGATATGAGATATCTAGATTGGTCAAAATCATGAAGACAGTACATAGAATGGTGGTTCCCAGGGGTTGGGGGTAGAGGGAAATGGGGAATAGCTATTTGATGAGTATAGAGTCTCAGTTTTGCGGATTGTATAGAAATCTGTTATATAACAATGTGAATCTAGTTAACACTACTACCCTGCACACTTAAAAATGGTTAAGAGCGTAAAAATTTTATAAAATGTGTTTTCTTCCAGAATTTAAAATTTAAAAATATATTAAGAAAACATAAACTGGTCCTGGCTGGTGTGGCTCAGTGGGCTGAGTGCTGACGTGTGAACTGAAGGTTCACCTGTTCGATTCCCAGTCAGAGCATAGGCCTGGGTTGTGGGCTAGGTCCCCAGTTGGGGCATGCGACAGGTGGCCAATCAATGTATCTCACACGTTTCTCTCCTCTTTCTCCTCCCTTCCCCTCTCTCTAAAAATAAAGAAAATTTTAAAAAAAGAAAAGAAAACAAAGACTGTGATATGTTCCCACCACCCTTAGCTAAACACTATGGTCATCAGTTAGAAAAAGTCTTGAGTTTTATATATTGATACATAAGTTGAATTCTTGGAAGAGTCTCTCTAATTTTTTAGCCTTATTTAAAATTGTAGACACCGCCCTAACTAGGTGGCTCCGTTGGTTAGAGCATTGTCCCATACACCAAAGGGTGTGGGTTTGATTCCTGGTCAGGACACATGCCTAGGTTGCGGGTTCAATACATGGCCATGAACAGGAGGCAACCAGCTGATGTTTCTCTCTCACATTGCTATTTCTTTCTCTCTCTCTTCCTCTCTTTCTAAAATCAATAAACATATCCTTGAGTGAAAATTAAAACAATTTTTTTAAAGTGTGGATATCCCCACTATGCACAATTACCCAAACTTGAAGTACTTAGAGTCATCTTTGACTCCTCCTTCATCTTCTCTGACCACATGTAATCTATATATTCACTGATTTCAACACTTGTCCATTAGTGGGTGCTCAAGAAAATGTGTAGAAGGAAGGAAGGAACCAGTTAAATTTTCCTTTTTTTTTTCCGTTTCCACGTCTCCTTCAGCAAAAACTATTTTAGACCAGGTCCTCATCATCTGTCTCTTTCATGGTTTTACTGGTCTCCTCATCCCTAGATTCTTTTTGTTGCTGAATGAAAACATTTATTGTAACTTCACTAAAAACAACAACAAACTGGCATCTCAAGTGTTCCCAACAGATGTTTGAATAAATCTGACATATTTTATTTTTTTATGCTATGACAGTTGTTTCTACTCTTTCTCCCCCTCCCACACCACCTACCCCACCTCACTCCTAAATTCTTAACCCTTCAATCTTATCTCTACATTATCACCAGAATTTGGTTTCCTGATCACCAAAGACCCCTCGTGATGGAGCCCACCTTACATTTCTCACCTAACCTCCCTTCAATTCTCCCATGTCTCCTCTGTAGCCACACAGAGCTCTTTATTGCTGAGTATGCCATTTTAAGCATGTTTTCATGATTTACTTATGATATTTCTTCTGCCTGCCTGGAAGTCCTCTACTTCCTCATCTTCCTCTTCTATCTGGTAAACATCCTCTAATGCTCAACTTCTTTTAAAAATTAATTTATTTATTTTTAGACAGAGGGGAAGGGAGGGAGAAAGAGAGGGAGAGAAACATCAGTGTGTGGTTGCCTCCCACATGGCCCCCACTGGAGACCTGGCCTGCAAGCCAGGCATGTGCCCTGACTGGGAATCAAACCCGTGACCCCTTGGTTCACAGCCCGCGCTCAATCCACTGAGCTACACCAGCCAGGGCTAATGCGCAACTTTAAGACAGATCCACAGGGAAGCCTTCTGTATTTCCCCAGAGTATGGCCTTTTTTTTTTCTGGGATCCCAGAGAATTCTAAAAATGCCTCTATTACAAAACTCACTTGGCCTCACCGAGAGTAAATCAGGTCAAATAAAGATAAGCCCGTGAATGTGGCTTTTTGGAGATTAGCTATGCAGGTCAACTAGTGACAATTTTCAGGGAAAGGGACTCTTTGAGGTGCTCCCAACCTGTTCTGTCCCATCCCGCAGCTGCTAGGCTGCTGTATTTCACAGACACTGCTGTGGTTGTTGAGGCTACTGCAGAGCTAGGGAAAGTGGGATGGGAATAGAGCCATGTGAACACCACAAATACCACTCTTCTGAGATTCAGCCATTTTTCTTGAATAAACAGTCCTCGGGTTGTTGTAAGGCCTTGGTTACATTCTACAGCTCTGAAAGTTTAGCTAAACAATTATTGCCAGTTATGTCACTGCTTTATGGAGGAGTAGATCTTTGGAAGTCCTTACCTAACATTAGGGAAGTTCTTTGTCATAAATGTTTATTTAATTATGAAGAATCACATTAAATGGATGCACACACACACACTGCTGTGTAACACATAAGCCAGAAAACAAGATGTACAAAAGAAATAAAATGTCAGTTCCAAATTGCAATGGGATGTAGAGAATATTCCCCACAAACCATGGCTTGGGGGATGGGAGAAGCAAATGATTATGACTTAAGATACTTTTCATAACAAAGGCATGCAAAGAGCTGTGCTACCACCTTGGGGCAAGGGGTGTGTGTGTATCCTGACTCACAGCATAACCAGGGGAGGCATTTCCCTGTGATCATTGCATCAATCTTGCCCTGACTGGGGATGGCAGCTGAGAGAATGTAAACTATTCAGAAAACTGGCAAATGTAGCTCATTGTGGGAGGAGTTGGAGATGAGGTCACTCAAGAGGGTCCAGGTCAGGATTTAAACGAAGGGCAGGTAGCCATAAGGGGATTTGGCCATGCTGTTTGAAAGGGTGTAGAAGGGTCCCCTTCAGCCAGCCATGAGATCTGGTGTATAAGAATGTGTTACGTGGTTTTGGATTAAGAGCTGGAGTAGTGGGAAAGAAAGCCATGTTGTGAGTAGTGAGGAGAGCCACGAGGGAGGAATGAGGCAGCAGCCATGTGAGAGGGAGAAGCAAGCAAGCAGCTGTGTAGTGTGTAGTCAGGATCCTGCCGTGCCGCCTGGTGTGGTAAGGAAGGAGACACACTGCTGCTTTGATCGTGCCTGCTCTAGCTGGCACCAGAGACTCTCCCTTGCAAGACGCTGACCTGGTGCTTTGCAAACCTGGACTCTATCTGTACCCTTGAGACTTGTACCTTTTCTGGACTCTACCATGATCCAGTACATCACAGCAGATCTGACATGGACCAATATACAGTGGCTAATGACAACGTTCCCCAGATCCCGAAGGAGACTACGCAGCCAGATTAAGATCAGCTAACAATATGGGGAACTTTTAGTGTTTTGGGCATGTAGCTTTTTGGGGAACAAGGGAAGTGCTGAGTTTCATGAGAAGGAAGGGCTCCAAGCTGAAGTGCTGGCAGAGCCCCCAAGGTTGGAATGTTGTAGATAAAAACCTGTTCCTTCCAGCATTAATTGTTGGGTCATTCACTGAGGTGCCACGTGCCCCTATCTGCTCAGTTATAAAAGCATATTTGTCTAAGTCCTAATTTATAAGTCTTTTTTTGATATTTACTTCATTAGGCTACCCTAGTTAATATTTATGCCATTAGTTAATGTCTTGCTACTACAGACAGTTCCAAGGCCTTATGCAAAAACAAAGGAAGAATGCCTGGTTTCATACTCTGCCTAAAGACCCTTTAGTTCTAAGGGCCTTATCAAATTAATATCCCAGAGAAACATAAACTAAAAGTAACATGCATCTAAATGCCACAAGAAGGCAAAATATGAGTTGCCTTAAAGATTTCTTTTAATTATTTCAATTAGGAAAAAGCTATGTATTTTATAATGCAATGGTTAAGTGAATATTGGTATATTTGTGGTAAGAGTATGTATATTAAAAATGTTTATGAAACCTTAAAAAAATATTTTATTTATTTATTTTTAGAGAGGGGAAGGGAGAAAGAGAGGGAGAGAAACATGGATGTGTGAGAGATACATCAATTGGTTTCCTCTCATACACCCTGACTAGAAATTGAACCAGTGATTTCTTGGTTGGCAGGCTGGTGCTCAATCCACTGAGCCACACCAGACAGGGCTATGAAAGGTTTATAATATTCTAGCATTAAGCAAAAATATGCAAATACAAACTTTTACATACAGTAGGATCTCAAATACATAAAAATTGTTCTTAAAAATTTTTTTAAATGCCTCAAATGTTAATAGTGATTGCTTCCAGATTGTAGTTTTTAATGCATTCTTTAATTTTAAGTGTTCTCCAGCATGCAATTATTTCTCTTCTAAGCAATGAAAAGCAAACTTTGCTTTAAACACAACTCCTTTCCTCTCCCTACTTGTAATCATAATTCTGAACTTAGCTATTGGCTGTTAAAGAAAAGGAGGAGACAGAGTGTCTACAACATCACAATTTGTTAACGGCAGAGCCAGGACCAGAGCAAGGTATCTCTTACCTTGAAGTCTTCATGCTTCTCCGTCTAGAGAGAGCAAGCTTTTGTTGGGGCCCGTTTGTCTGTACCCATTGGTGCATCCAAGTTGCTGGCTTCTTCAGCTCTAACTCTGGAATATATGAGGCAAAATATGAGGAGAAATGATCATGTCATTCCTGGGTCCCTAGGCTCCGCCAGTCTGCCTTCCTTTCCCCACCCTTCGGAGTCTTCTTACGTTTGTTTTATATATAGTATGTAAGGAGGTTTTTTTGCACTTAGTAAAAGAAATGGGGGAAATGTACTTCTATCTTCCTGGAAACAGAAGCCTGTACCTAATTTTGAACTTACATTTCTGCATATTCTCCTATTCCTCCTCTTCTTCCTCCTCCTTTTTTAAAATTTTTTATTTATTTATCTATAGAGGGGAAGGGAAGGAGAGAGGGAGAGAAATATCAATGTATGGTTGCCTCCTGTGTGTTCCCTGCTGGGAAAGGGTCTGCAACCCAGACATGTGCCCTGACTGGGAAATGAACTGCGATACTCTGGTTTGCAGGCCTGTGCTCAATCCACTGAGCTATACCAGCCAGGGGGCTCCTCCTTTTTTTTTTTAAAGGAGGCCTTCAAATTTGTAGTAAGTTTCAGGTCTCATAAAACATGGATTCACTTCCAGTACATGGCACATAAAAAGAGAATAATAAAGTTTTTTTGAATGGATAAATGATTAGATCCCATAATCAAGATCTAATAGAATTATGGTACTAGGCATTGAATCTTATTAAAAATGGTTCCCTTGAAACACTGGAATATTACCCAAAAAATCTAATTTGAAAGACCCCCACAAGCAGTGATAACAATTTGGTGTCTTCAGTATCTTGATATTTTAGGTAATCCCTTTCAATTTTGGGAGGGGGAAAAAAAAAGAACTGCTAAGTGGTGACCAGTTGAGGGTACCCCTGAAGGGTGAAAAGGAACAGAGATTGCCAACCTAAAATATGGCTCTTTGGGATACTGATTATTTTAAGCTGGTTATTTTTTAATATATTTTATTAATTATGCTGTTACAGTTGTCCCATTCCCCCCTTTACTCCCCTCCACCCTGCACACCCCCTCTCACCCACATTCCCCTCCTTTAGTTCATATCCATGTGTCTTAAGTTCTTTAGCTTTTACATTTCCCATACTATTCTTGCCCTCCCCCATCTATTGTCTACCTACTGTCTATGCTACTTATTCTCTGTACCTTTTCCCCCTTCTCCTCCTCCCACTCCCCTGTTGATAACCCTCCATGTGATCTCCATTTCTGTGGTTCTGTTTCTGTGCTGATTGTTTGCTTAGTTTGTTTTTGTTTTTGTTTAAGATATGGTTGTTAATAATTGTGAGTTTGCTGTCATTTTACTATACATGTTTTTTATCTTTTTTTCTTAGATAAGTCCTTGTAATATTTCATAAAATAAGGGCTTGGTGATGATGAACTCCTTGAATTTGACCTTATCTGAGAAGCATTTTATTTCTCCTTCCATTCTAAATGAAAGCTTCACTGGATAGAGCAGTCTTGGATGTAGGTCCTTGCCTTTCATGACTTGGAATACTTCTTTCCAGCCCCTTCTGGCCTGCAGGATTTCTTTTGAGAAATCAGCTGACAGTCTGATGGGAAGTCCTTTGTAGGTAACTGTCTCCTATCTCTTGCTGCTTCTAGAATTCTCTCCTTCATTTTTATCTTGGGTTATGTAATTATGATGTGCCTTGGTGTGTTCCTTCTTGGGTTCAACTTCTTTGGGACTTCCTGAGCTTCCCAGACTTCCTGTAAGTCTATTTCCTTTGCCAGATTGGGGAAGTTCTCCTTTATTATTTGTTCAAATAATTCTTCCACTTGTTGTTCTTCCTCTTCCGGTACCCCTATAATTCGGATGTTGGAATGTTTAAAGATGTCCTGGAGGTTCCTAAACCTCTCCTCATTTTTTTTTTGGATTCTTGTTTCTTCCTTCTTTTCTGTTTGGTTGTTTCTTTCTTCCTTCTGGTCCACTCCATTGATTTGAGTCCCAGTTTTCTTCCCATCACTATTGGTTCCCTGTGCATTTTGCTTCATTTCACTTAGCATAGCCTTCATTTTTTCATCTAATATGTGACCAAATTCAACCAATTCTGTGAGCATTCTGATCATCAGTGCTTTGAACTGTGCATCTGATAGGTTGGCTATCTCTTGGTCGCTTAGTTGTATTATTTCTGGAGCTTTGATCTGTTCTTCTGTTTGAGCCATAATGTTTTGGTCTGTTCACACCTGTTACATATGAAGGGTAGAGACTTAGGTGTTCACCAGGGTGGGGCAACCCGGTTGCTGGGTTGTGATGCTGTATGTGGCGGCGGGGTCCAAGAGGGACCAATGACGTTTGCTCTGCTCTCTGTCAGACCTCAGTCCCTCCCGCCACTTCTCACAAGCAAACTGGGTCTTTCTGGTGCTGGTTCCTGGGTGGGTGGGCTTGTGCATGTTCTAGGACCCTGTGGGTCTCTCCAACGAACTCTCCTGTGAGGCTGGGAGTCTCTCCCTATGCCTCAACCCCCTCAAGTATTTTCAATTGGTGTTTTGAGGCTTTATTTCCCAGCACTGGGACCCTGGGTTGCGCAGTCTGTCTTGCTCCCCAGTTATCTGCGCAGGAATGTGGGACTGCTGCCTGGTTAGCCAGCCTCCCTGCACATAGTGCCTTGCTCCACAATTGCCACCTCGCTGGGTTGCCACCCCACACCCAGCAAACTGTGTGCCCAGGGTCCACCCTCTGCTGTCTTGCACGCCCAAGGTGCCTTGTGAGCCCGGTGTCACTGCTTCTTGTGCCACAACCCCTCTCTGCTTGGCTTCCCGACTCCACCCCACCTACTGGTCTGGATGAATGTGTCTATTTCAGCTCCTTGGCTGTCTGACTTCCATATGGTTCAATTTTCTGTCAGTTCTGGTTCTTATTTTGTTTCTCAATTTTTCTTCTCCTTATTTTGGTTGTGCAAGGAGGCATAGTGTGTCTACCTACACCTCCATCTTGGCCAGAAGTTTAACCTGGTTATTTTTAAGAAAGAAAAGACCCAAGAAGAATCTATGCCCTTACCCCTAACTGCCTAATAGAATTTAGATAGAGGACCTACTCCAAGAAGGGAGCTATCATGACAGAATAACTATAGTTTAACCTGCACTAGATGTGACAGACACGGAGGAACCAAGCGAGGCCCCTTTGAACAAAGTCCTCTCATCGTTTCAAGATGACCTAGTGAACAACTGTTGACTAATGGTTAACTCATTTCATCTCCCTGTGAATTGCCCTGCTTCCCTTTCAAGTCTCAGACCCCTAACTCCTTCTCCTTAGTCCAGAATGATACATATACCTCATTCTGCCTTACTGTCTTTGAAATTTTTATGCTTATATAAATTTCCCGTGTGTGTGAATTAAAACTTTATTTTGTTCTCTTAATATGTCTTATGTCATTTCAGTTACTCATCAGGCCAAAAAAACTAAGAGGGGAAAAGGGAAGTTTTTCACTTCCCCATAAGGATTCTCAGGTATATTTTTAGTTATCACAAGGTTTTACCTTACATCAAAATCCTACGTAGAAGCTTCACTGATCACTTATTTTAGCAACCCCCAAATCTGGCTGCATCCTTAAATCACTTAATGAGCTTATTTCCAAGTGCAAAAGAGATGAAATTTTTTTGCATATACCCTACTGGTAATTATTAAATTATATACTCTTTGCACTTCCAAGGACCAATTTATAACTGGCTCCTGACAAACTAGAAATGAAAAAGCAAAAGGAAAACAAGAGAAAAGCTCTGCATCAATTAGTAGGTATGAGCTAAATACTGTGAACTTACAAAAATTCTGCTACACAAAGTTGAATGAGACAAGATCGAAGAAAGACACCAGATGATGTGCAATTCCTATTCCAAAGAAAGCAGGATGTTGGTATTATTGACATAAGAAACATCCAAACCTATATATAACTTTTATGAGTTACTAGCAACAACTGCCAGGAAGCAAAGCCTCAACAAATTGAGAAAATGCTCCAGAAAATGAATAATTTTGCAGATTATTTTATACCTCTTCTTCTCAAAAGAAGAGGCATAAATTTAGAGGGTTACATGAAATCTACTGGTGGAAGATTAAGGGGGTAGGAAAAAGCAAACTGAAGAAATCTCTGGGACTGGATAAAAAGTAAAACAGAGACGAATACATCTTTCACACTGGTGGGTACAGAGAGTTAACGATTAACATTTACAGCACAGAGATGGCATTCGGAGCACAAGGTAACATGAGGGGTTCTGAGGTCTGGTGCTCTGGTACAGAGGATGTGCCCTGAGGATCTGGAAAAGGAGACTGCTCTGACATTTCAAAGTGATGCTATCTTTGATGCAAAAAGACAATAGACAAGGTCACTTAAGGTAAAGACTAACCTTTCTCAAGAAAGCTATAGTCCTTGGATGTTACTAACTGCTGTGAACTTCTTTTAGTTAGGAATTTATATGTTCAGACCATCCTATGTGGTTGCTTTTGGTCTCTTGAGTTTGTAAGGCCACCATGCAGGCCTCCCCTGAGCTCCTTGGGTTTAGTATGTGGGCCCTTATTTATCCATACTTCCCTGTTTGGGTCATAAATTAATCTGAAGGATACACCTTGGCTGGATAATACATTTCCACAGTTCATTTGTAGGAAGTCTTATTGTTGTCATCTGTCTTGCTTTGGTTTGCCACTGGGGATGGGGCAAAACTGTAACTTTGGATAGAAGTCAGGGCCAAATTTTTCTCAAAAGGGAAGACAGGTAAATGGGAGTCTGTCAGATCTCAGGGGACTTCATTAAAAACAAACAAACAAGAACAACAAAAAACAACCCAGAACTGGTTGGTATGGCTCATGGATTGAGTGCTGGCCTGCAAACCAAAGGGTCATGGATCATTTCTAATGTATACCACATCATGATCCAAGTTTTGCTGTCTGTCTCATTTTTCTGTATTTTGCTTCTAGAATGACATTTACTCATAGTACACCATATACTTCTTTGGTTTTCACACTTGAGCATGAGATGGATTCAATTACTCTTATGATATTATTATTATTATTATTTTAATATAGTGCATCTACTTCCTATTGAAGCA